TCCAAGGGCATAACTCTTTTAAAAATAATTGATCGGCACTTATTTTCTAACTCGTCCGCAACATTACTGATATGAACCTTTGTTTGAAGTTTTATAAAAATCTGACAAGAATTGTACAAGTGAGAGCTCTAACTTCTATGTCCCCTCGCAAAGCATTGCACAGCAGACAAAAAATGCTGATTCTTCATATACATCCCATGTAATGCTTCACCTAATCCTCATGAAATTGTTGACAAATAAGATGTTAGTCAATACCAGATAAATTTTCTGGTTCTCAGACAATGACTTCTAGTGTTGAGGCTCTAAAGAGTCTGCGTAGCTCACCTAGGTCTATGTGCATCTTCATCAATGCACTCTCCAACATTGTATACTAGAACAGAATTCACGACAAATATTACTTTTTTGTTGATCTTGAAATGCTGATAACTTTTTCTGTTTACAGTTTTTCTCTATCTTCTTTAGTTTTTACCCGAAACACAAAAAAAGGTTATTTCATGCCAATCACTCAATTAAGAGTCTACTTGACTTATTTGTGATTCTTGTCTTGTGAAAATTTTTGCTGTCTATCTATTATAGTTTTCAAGGTAACAGGCAAACACGCAAAATAGTGGTAAAAATCATCATTAAAGAGCAAGGAATCCTAAATGAGTCTACTTATTTCTTTTGGCCTTGTTGACTAATTTGTAGATCTTGTTTTTCTGATCATTTTTGCAATTTAAAGTGTCAATCTTTCTATCATAATTTTCAAGATGAGATGCAGAACACTAAAAATGGGTAAAAATCATCATTAAAAAGCAATAACTCTAATAAGAAGTCGTCTGACGATTTCGACCATGCAAACTTATTTGTAGATCTTGTCTTGCTGATCTCTCTTCAACTAGTTTGAAAGCAGTAAAATATGAACAAAGCTGAATTTTACATGGCCTTATGGTGGTGGTGAGAATCAGAGGTGGATACTAAAAAAATCAAATATCTGTTAGAATACATTAAAGACCAAACAGCCTATTGTTGATGCGCATCAACTAACACAACTTGGTAGTGACATAAATGCTCTATGACATTGTTTCTAGCCATGAAAAAAAAGTCAAATTATAACGTCCTATTTCGCATTTTTCACGGATTCCAACATGGTGTACGCTTAAAACTACGTCTTTCAAGAAAAGTGGAATTAAGCGTCGAGCTGATACCTAGTGGAAATTAAACACAAATGGACACAAGATACTACACTATTCGTAACCTCCGTTCTATTAAAAATAATAATAAAAATATAAATTTTGAACTCGGCTTTTAACATTTGCGCCGATCTGCATTTCACTTTTTTTCTTTCACTTGCCGATTTTTTCTTTCATTTGCGCCGATTGTGTACAGGTAAATTATAGGTGAAAGTTATTGTTTTATTTATCATATAAACCTCTTCCGTTAGCCAGTTGTACATATGTTATGAATTGTCAATTACAACATGTATATAACTGTTGTCCCCTGCTCACAAAGGGGATGTGGGAGTAGAATTTCGAGCAGGATAAGTCAATTTAAAAGATATTTGTGCACTCTGTTTACATCCACTAAAATTACGGAGTAAAATTCTATTTACAGCATTTCAAAGCACCACAATAAAATCCATAAAAATGTAATACTAGTACAATGAATTATTATCTTGTCGAGAATTTATATGCCACACATCTGATATATTCCTTTCTTGTCATTTCATCTTTTCTATACTTCTTGTACTTGCCAACAACGAAGTCCATCTTTTCTTTCTCGTGTCAAAACGAAGTTCTCGAACAATATGACCAAAATTAACTTAAACATAAGGGAATACTGTTTATATCCATATATATTACCATGCAATATACATTCTAGGTTTACTACATGTACATGTATTTACTCGTATAGCAAATATAGTATCGGGGCTAGTGATAAAAAAAAAAATTGGCACTAATGAAAGAATCAAATCGGCGCAAATTATAGATCGAAATTTTTTTTTAAATCGGCGAAAATCTCGTACGCCCGTGTAACTTTACACTTGTAAATTTATATGACTTACGCTTAGAACTTTAACTTAATATGTGATTTTCAAATTGAGTTTTCAGAAGATTAGGCCGATAAACAATACTTTCTAGTTTTTTGCCCCTTTTTTTGCCCCTAATTCCTAAAATTTCGAGGCAATTACCCCCAAAATCAATCCCAGCATTCCTTTTGTGATATGGAACCTTGTGGTACAATGTCAGAGAGATCCATACACTAACACACAAGTTATGTCTGGAAGTTACAAAAATGCTTATTTTTGGCCCCTAATTCCTTTACTGATGGTACCATAACCCTCAAAATCAATCCCAACCTTCCTTTTGTGGTATTGAACCTTGTGGTAAAATTTCATAGAGATCCATTCACTTAAACTAAAGTTAGAGTGCGAAAACCAATGTGTCTTCGGACGACGCCGGACGACGACGACGCCAACGTCATACCAATATACGACCACAAAAATTTTTTTGCGGTCGTATAAAAATGATAAAGGTTCATTGACATTTGTTTCATTTCAAATTGCCTCAAGGAGAAAATTCAAATGATTTCGCCCGATCTCACAGAAGCTTAAGGCAAAAAAACATAAGAAATTTAAAATATACTCAGTGAATGTGAATTGAAATCAAAATTTACGGTTTTTAAAACTAAACTTGTTGTAAATTTAACAAAAACAATTGCTTCAAGAATAAGATCCAACATAAAATTTCTCACTGTCAAAAAGCTACATTGACCGGAAAGATTGAAAACAAATTTCGATTTTCAATGCCGGCAATCTATACATACCTTGTCTTTGTTTTAATTTCCAAAATGAGCTATTTAGATTCATAATATTTCATCCTGTTTTGAGAAATACTTTATAGTTTTCAACGGAAGATTATTTCTTAGATTCTAAATCAATTTTTGAATTAAAAACTTATTTGTGTTATATATTTACTGTCTCGTTTATTCAAAACACGTGAGGTAGTAAAAACGGGGATCGTATTTTATGATAGGTTAAATGGATGTAAAACGTTTTAGAATCAAAAACTTTAATTCATATATTATACCTATAATTTTAATTTTCTTATATTTTAAATATTCAGAAATAATGAATCCACAAACTAGATGGAATAATTTGTATACGCTCGTCTTAGTCGGAACACACATACTGGTATAAAGAAGTCCGTCCGTGCTATAATGTGTGTCCGTCTGTCAACAGTAGCGAAATAGTGCGCTAGTGCAAAGTTCTGAAATTGACGCGACAAAAAAACCACACACATCTAGTCTAATATAGTCAAATAGTCTGTAAGTTAGCCAGTGTCATCTTTCATTTATCTTTTTATTTTCAATGATTTTGCTAATGAGAGGGAGAGGACAAAAACAGACTTTCCTTTCTAAAGCGTCGTAAAAGAAAGGTTAATTCGAACAATTTTTCATTCCAACGGATGGTGTTTCTGAAGGTTAATTTTGCGCGGCAACAACATCATGAGATCTGATACTGATATATACATGTGATCTCTTGTATAACCGGATAATAAAGTAGGTGAATATAGTTGTTATTTTTGATTCTTGAAAATTTAAATGTGGGTTTCAAACGTCCAATTTGCAATTTTTTTCAAATAGTGCGCCAGCAAGGAAAACTTGTACTATGACGTCAGATTCAATGTTCTGAAGAAAGACAACTCTTTTCTTCAAAACGAACGAGAAAAAAAAAAACATGAAAATTAATCATAACTTTTTTGAAAGGTCGGTGACATATACATTTTTTTGCTTTATTTTGATGAGTACACATGGCACTTTCCTTCTTTAAATTTTTATGAAAACATCACTGGTAGATATTTTTTAATACTTGAAACGTTTTTCATTCTTGCGTTTTATTTTTGGCGGGAATGAAATAAATCATATTTTTTAAGATCAAAACAATAAGAGTCATAAACTCTTGAACCTGTATTTGATAGACACAAATCTACTGTTTAACATGAAACAAGAATTATGCTTGTAGGTTTGATATAATGGGATTTTTTGAGAGTTTAAATAACAAGCAAATATCATGTTAATATTCGGGAAAACATGAAACTGAGGTTGTTATAGTGACAAAACTAAGTCAGTGACCCCCAATTTTTTTTTATCATATTTTGTTCCTCAAGTCATGAAATACCTTCACACAAAATTTTAAGGAAAAATCACTGACAGAACTAAATAGGCTGTTTGGTCTTTAAATTAAAGTCTCTCTTCATGCAATAGTATTCTAAACTTAAAGATTTGAAGAATTGGTCCAAAACTGTTTTATTAAACAGAATGGCCAACACAGATACAAATATCTTGTTTTTGAAAAAGACAGATCATACTTAGTAAAACAAAATCTTTCTGATTCCAGCAGAAAGTTCACTAAAACTGACATCTGCAAATGCTGGATTCTGTTTTACTTCAGTTTTAAGGCCAAAATACCCCCCCCCCCCCCTCCCCAGTTCACCTCCTGCTTTGACTATAGAAGCCAACAGAAATAGGATTTCTAAGCAATTCTAATGGCACAAAACTCTATTTCTTTAGTAATTATCTAGGCAAGGCAATAAAATATTGTTGGCTTTGCGATCAAGCATACACTGCATTGGGAGTCCAGAAACCGACATACATATTTTTGGTCTTAGAAAATAAGAATTTTTTATTTATGGAATATGAATTTTAGTTTCCTAATGTAATTGTCTATTTTTTATAAAGTTTCCACTGTCACAATACTTTGTAACAATTAATTTGTTAAAACAAGACATCTGTAAGTCACTATGATATCGACATTTTTGGTCGAGACAGCTTTATGAAACCAGACATAAATCAACTGGCAAGGATTATTTGAAGTAGAAAAAAAAATGTAGAACTACAATCCCAGCTACTGATGAATGAAATATACATTTGTATTTTGATTGAGATTTAATTTTGACCCACATGATTTTCTATTTTGTAATAATATAAGGGAAGTAACTATGAAAAAATGAAGTTACAACACAAGTTAATGTTTAATAATCATAGTATTAAGCGGAATTAAGCAGACAAATATGAAATCATAATCAATAATTCTTTTCTTAGCATTTATCATTATTGCACTTTTATACTTTTAGAGAATAATGAGCACAGTCTTGTTATCCCTTCTTTTCTCAAACTAAGACCTGTGTTTACATCTTTTTAAGCATCCAAGCCTCTTGAAATATTGTACTTCAACAACTGATGTAGGGAAACATTCATCATGCATATTTAAACATGGTCTTCACACCAGTCTTGTCCACAACATTGTTTTTGGTTCAAAAAATCACGGTCTTTGGTATGGGTGTGTACTGGTTGCAGACTTTATGTTTGTTTTTATGGTACTTGGTGCTTTTCCAATGTTTTGTGCTGAAAATAGAAGAAGAAAAATATTCTGATTTTTCATACTTTTTACAATAAAAGGAAGTTATACATAAACAGTTCATGGCAGCTTTCAAAAATGAAAACCCAAAATTATGACTTAGCAGCTGAAATTTGTTTTTTATGATACTATTGGAATGTAGTCTCCATAACCCAGTGAGTGCTCTTATGACTATATTTGACTACAATTTACACCTGACTTGATTCAAGTTTTGATTGCCTGCATGTAGTTTGGAAACACATTGATTCCTGCTCATCTATTGTTCACCATCCCTTATTTTTTTAGGTCCCCGAAATTTAAACAGACAAAACTTGGAGAACATGGTACTTAGAGAGTGGTATTGCACTAATCACTATTTTTTATCTACTGTAAATTTAGAAATTATTCCATGAATTTATTGTTGCGATTTTTGTAAGGAAGGACAAAAATTGAGTTATATCATTGCGGTTTCAGGAAATCTGCCTTCAAATATTATGTATCAGATATCAGAATGAGAGTTCTTATTATTGTGATTCTCAACCATTATTCGCAATAATAAAAACCTCACAATGATTTCTGAATTTACAGTGTATGATTGAATTCAAACAATTGCAATGATCTTGTTTTTCAAAATGAAAAAAAAAATATTGGGTTAAAATTATTGCTTAAATGGAAACTTTTTTGAATAACTGCTCTTTCTAAAAGAAAATTCAGGATCTGCATCTAGTGGGTCTTATACAAAAAAAGAAGCCTTTTTTTAGGTTGATGTATCAAACCATGGAGTGATATACATATATATTACCTTGTTGTTTCTGTTGTTGCTGCTGCTGCTGTTGTTGTGGTGTCATACCAGGTTGAGAATCTTGTCGTCTTATTGATTTTAGTCCCTTACCAAACATCATTGCTGCCACCATTGTACTGGTATCTGTTGATGAATAAGTCTGAGCCATCTGGGCTTTTTGATCTAAAAGCAAAAAATCTTACGATGTAAACCTTATTAGTGTTAACAAATTTAATTCCCAGTATTAAACTCTAAGCAATGATTACTTACCAGTTTTAAAATAATTGTTCTCAAGTAAATCTAGTGTTAAGTTACCTAAGCTATTTTAAAATTAAAAATAGTTCTTGATACAATTTGAACTGAACTTACCAGTTGTAAGAAAAAAGTTTAATACATCACTATTTTTTGTCAGAAATTTAATTCGATCTTTCATTTGCATAATTTGATAGTCAATGCAAGAATAACAAAAACAGTACTTTAGTTCTATCTGAGCTCAGTCAAATTGTTTAAGATATAAGATTTTATTTTATTGCCTAGGATTACTAATAAACTAGACACAGAAGATGCCTCCTCTGTATGCGTGAATATACATGTAGTTCTTCTAACATTAGATATAGTAATAAACAGCTGCGCCATGAACCCATGATACACCCATCGCTTTTTCAATAGATATAAACCAGTCACCAAGTTTCCTGAAAACTGCTCAAAGCATTTTTGAGTAATTGTCCGAAAACTAGAAAATCCCCCTTTTTTAATGAATAAAACCCCATAACTCGGAAACGTAAAATCTAAAATTTATAAAAATCGAAAAGGAGCTCACATCAATAGACATAAACAATGCACCAAAGTTTCATTAAAACTGTTGAAAGCATTTTTGAATTATAGTTCGAAAACTGGAAAATCACCCTTTATTAATGAATAAAACCCTGTAACTGGAAAACTCCAAAATTTATAAAAATCAAAAGGGAGCTCACGTCAATAGATATTATCAATTCACCAAAGTTTCATGCAATTGGTTAAAGCGTTTTTGAGTTATTGTCCGAGATGTTGACGACGGACGGTCGGACGGACAACGGTATACCATAATACGTCACGTAAACAGGCATATAAAAAATTATGTTGACGTACAACTTGAAAAGGTTGTGTCTGAAAGAAATATTTGATGTGCTTGCCATAGTTATTATTTATTCTATATTGTACTGTTGCTGGTCCTTTCACACTTAATAACTCATGTTTGGCAAAGCTAATAGAAGACAAAATTTGTGAATGTAATAATACAAATCTATAGGAGTTGGCTAGACAAACCATGTACCATGAGTACCTAGCATGCATAATTTCACAAAAAATGAATTAGTACAACATCATGTCAATTGTAATTTAAAGAAAATCTAATCCTGACAATATGCACACCTTCCTCATATGTACTAAAATCATCCACACATATACTAACATTCTGTATATCAAATTAATTCTAGCTTAAACCCGATAGAGGAGTTAGCTGAACACAACATATACCCATGTGGGACAGACATTTTGTTTCTCGGGCATACAAATTTTGAGCTTTTACTAGTTCATCATGTTCATTTCCACATTCTTATTATCTGCTTAGGGTTGTTAAATATTTGAACCTGCAGGTAGGAGACAGGAGGCACTTTAAATTAAAATTTGATGGCTGGTCTAAATAAACATGAGAAATGAAAAAAGTTCATACAACACCACAATAAACATAATAGAATGCAAATTGAAACCATTTATAACATCTTCAGACTGAATTTTAATGACCATGAGAAATAACTTACTTGCTTCACTTTCTAGTTCTTCCTTGTTGGAGTTTATTATATCCAATAAATTACTTGTGATCTTGTTCATTGAATTCAGCTGTTTCTAAAAATAGAATAAATATACAACATTGTATTGTCAATCTGTATAACTACAAGGTCTGACCTTAACCCTTGCAATGTGCTGATACAAACATGCAAAACTTGACCCCAAAAAATGTATTCACAAATTGACTATTTATGAATTATATATGTAGGCGAAACAGGTCTTTAAATGTATAGAATGTATGTAAAAAGCAGCCAAAATATGCATTTTTTCACTTTAAATTTATGATTTTTCAAAAAGAACTGTACATAGAATTTGTTTAAATAAAAATTATACTTTATTGCTGTAAACTATTGAAAAGACATGAAAATATCAGGGTCTTTATATATAGCATATAATTGTGGTGAGGATTTATATAATAAATATATTTGGTTTCCCTTAACTGCTTCTCTACTGTATGAAGAATAATATCCCTTCAAACTATTCATATGATATTAGAGAATTCTTGATGCCTCATTCTTAGTATTATTCTTTGTTAAACATTTGCTTTATTACAATGTTTATTTAAAAGCTGTTTATCACTGATTTTTGTATTGAAGACACACCTGATTTTTTTCAGTTATCTTCACTTTGTGTCATGATTATGGGCATAACTGTTTAAGGGTAGGACATTTGTATGTCGATTTGATGTGGCCAAGTAAATTATTCATTGAAAGTATGCTAGTTGTGGGTGATTTGTAAGTCCCTTCTGACCCTGACATATTCATATTAATGGAATATCCCTAAAGGAATAAAGTACAATGTATAATCGTATCACCTCTGACTATTAATGATGTTTGCTCCTCTTGTTAGTCAGATATTCAGAATCCTCTGGTTTTATCCATGTAGTGCCATTTAAATTTTGCCCACTTACACCTACTTCTCTTTTCATCGTTTTATTACATATAGTTTAATAAAATGCTTCGCTGGGCGCAGCTTGATACGACCGCAGAGGTTGAACCCTGAACAGTTGGGGCAAGTATGGACACAACATTCAAGCTTGATACAGCTCTGAATTTGGATTGTGATTAAATATTTGACACAGCATAGGTTTCTGACACAGAAAGAATGTGGTCTAAGAACTTGATTTTTTTTAATTTACCTATTATGGTCCAATGTCCAAAATCAAAATACATGGTTAGATTCAGCATATCAAAGAACCCCATATATTCAATTTTTGTTAAAATCAAACTAAGTTTAATTTTGGACCCTTTGGACCTTAATGTAGACCAATTTAACAAACGGGACCCAAAATTAAAAATCTAAATACACGGTTAGATTTGGAATATCAAAGAACCCCAATAATTCAATTTTTGATGAAATCAAACAAAGTTTAATTTTGGACCCTTTTGACCTCAATATGAACCAATTTGATAGCGGGGCCCACAAATAAAAAATCAAAATACATGGTTAGATTCAGCATATCAAAGAACCCCATATATTCAATTTTTGTTGAAATCAAAAAAAGTTGAATTTTGGACCCCAACTTGGACAAACTTGAAAACTGGGCCCATAATCAAAAATCTAAACACATGTTTAGATTCAGCATATCAAAGAACCCCAAGAATTCAATTTTTGTTAAAATCAAACTAAGTTTAATTTTGGACCCTTTGGACCTTAATGTAGACCAATTTAAAAAACGGGACCCAAAATTAAAAATCTAAATACACGGTTAGATTTGGAATATCAAAGAAACCCAATAATTAAATTTTTGATGAAATCAAACAAAGTTTAATTTTGGACCCTTTTGACCTCAATATGAACCAATTTGATAGTGGGGCCCACAAATAAAAAATCTAAATACATGGTTAGATTCAGCATATCAGAGAACCCCATATATTCAATTTTTGTTGAAATCAAACAAAGTTTAATTTTGGACCCCAATTTGGTCCAACTTGAAAACTGGGCCAAAAATCAAAAATCTAAATACATGTTTAGATTCAGCATATCAAAGAACCCCATATATTCATTTTTTGTTAAAATCAAACAATGTTTAATTTTGGACCCTTTGGACCTTAATGTAGACCAATTTGAAAACTGGACCCAAAATTAAAAATCTAAATACACGGTTAGATTCTGCACAACAAATAAATAAATGTGGTCAAAGATTTTACAAATCTAATGCGCCATACTGTGCAATAAAAGATTACTTCTTGAAATTTTCAATATTTGAAATTTGAGAAAAAATAATATTTGAAGAATAATTCTTTTTAATTTCTGAAATCTGAAATGAGAAAAAATTGACCCCCCACAATTTCTTTTTACCCCCCCCCCCCCCCCCCCAAGATATGGTCATAATTTCAATTCAAATTTTCAACGGAGTTTGCAACTATAATTACCCATTTAAATTTACCATAGTGCTAACAAAATCTACTTTATAATAGAATTTAAAATATAGTGTCAAATCTTTCATATGGATTTTTTTGTAAAAAAAAAGATGCAACATTTGCAGATATTTTTACTGATCTTTCTTTATAAAAATGCATTTCTTTAAACATAATTTAAAAGCAGTGTAAGGGAAGTAACCAAAACGTTGTATTTGGATTACCTCCCTTACACTGTTTTAAATTATCTTAATTGTTCATTAACCATTACTTTATACATAATTTAAAAGCAATGTAAGGGAGGTAATTTCAATGATGTATTTGATTTATCTCCCTTACACTGCTTTAAATTATGTTTTGTACTAAAGTGTTTGTCCATTAACCAGGACAACCTTATTTTTCCCCCTAATTCCTAAACGGTTTGAGCCATAACCCCCCCCCCCCCCCCTACTAACTAGAAAATGCTTATTTTTGGCCCCTTTTTTTGGCCCCTAATTCCTTAACTGTTGGTACCATAACCCCCAAAATCAATCCCAACCTTCCTTTTGTGGTATTTAACCTTATGGTAAAATTTCAAAGAGATCCATTCACTTAAACTAAAGTTAGAGTGCGAAAACCAATGTGTCTTCGGACAACGAGGACGACGACGTCGGATGACGACGACGCCAACGTCATACCAATATACGACCGCAATCGTATAAAAAGCCATATTTGAAAATCTTATAACATCCTTGTTATTTTTTCATAGTTTTTGAAAGAAAAAAGGTGCCAATGTTTTAACAAGAGTGCACACACTGAAATGTCTCGCCTTCTTTACTAACCATTGATTTTATGTTGATAGTCCTAAATATAAAGCTTTACTACAAGTAACACATAAACTTAACATGATCCAAGAAAATGAGGTCCAGGTCAGATAAACCAAACGAGAAATACATGTACACCTTACAATCATTCAATAAACCAAACATAGTTGACCTATTGCTTATAGTTTCTAACAAACAGTCTTAACCAAGAAAACTTAACATTGACCAATGAACCATGAAAATGAGGTTAAGGTCAGATGAACCATGCCAGACGGACATGTACACCTTACAATCAATTTATGCATTAAATATAGTTGACCTATTGCTTATAGTATCTAAGAAACAAACTTAACCATGAAAACTTAACATTGACCAATGAACCATGAAAATGAGGTCAAGGTCAGATGATACCTGCCTGACAGACATATACACCTTACAATCCTTCAATACAACAAATATAGTTGATCTATAGCTTATAGTTGAAGAAAAACAGACCAAAACACAAAAAGTTAACACTGAGAAATGAACCATGAAAATGAGGTCAAGGTCAAATAAAACCTGCGAGACTGACATGTACATCATAAAATATTTCCATACACCAAATATAGTTAACCTATTTCATATAGTATTAGAAAAAAAGACCAAAACTCAAAAACTTAACTTTGACCACTGAACCATGAAAATGAGGTCAAGGTCAGATGACACCTACCAGTTGGACATGTACACCTTACATTTATTCCATATACCAAATAAAGAAGACCTACTGCTTATAGTATCTGATATATGGACTTGACCACGAAAACTAAACCTTGTTCACTGATCCATGAAATGAGGTCGAGGTCAAATGAAAATTGTCTGATGGGCATGAGGACCTTGCAAGGTACGCACATACTAAATATAGTTATCCTATTACTCATAATAAGAAAGAAATTAACATTACAAAAAATGTTGACTTTTTTTTCAAGTAGTCACTGAACCATGAAAATGAGGTCAAGGACAATGGACATATGACAGACGGAAACTTCTTACATAAGGCATCTATATACAAAGTATGAAGCATCCAGGTCTTCTAGCTTCTAAAATATAAAGCTTTTAATGAAGTTAGCTAACGCTGCGGCCGGATGACTACCCCTTTGTCGAGCTTTCTGCGACAAAGTCGCAGGCTCGACAAAAATGTATGAAAAATCTAGAGAGAATCATTTCCCGCCAAATTTTCAATGGTGTATATCTCAAAAACAAGGACACTGACCTTTCATTTTTTTTCTGCCTTTTTAGTTCCTTTATTAATATACTATCAAATAATAACAGTCTTTTAAAAAGATTGTTATTTTAAAACAGAGAAGCAAACATCCTTAATGCATATTATATGTTGTAATGTAGCTTGTGTACATTTCTGGAGGAAGAGATTTACTGTACTTACTTGGGCCATGTCTGCTTGCATTGCAGCTGATTTCTGAACAACAATCTGAACTTTGTCTTCAACCTCTGGTTCTGGCTTGGTACGGAGGTAGTCTGGTACAACTTCATGGTTAAAACATAGTACTCTTCCTTCTGTTAATTTCTACAAAGTAAATAAAATGAATAAACATTTTTGCATGACTAGTCAGAGGCGGATTTAAAGGGGGCTGTAGGGTGCCAGGTCCCCAACCCCTTATGGAACTACATTTATGGTTAATGCAGACTTTTAACCTGTTCCAATCCAAACGTTCCCTAGTTTGTTTACTATAAACATTCTTGCACAACACCAAACAGGGGCAAAACACTACAATTTCATTTTCACTAAATCATAAAATATTTATCCTCATTAATAGATACATATATATATAAACAGATTAATGTCTGCAATCATTTTCAATGCTTTTATGTTTTCTCTCCTCATCATCTTAATACTTCTATTGCCTTCTTTTCTTAGGAAACAAATGAGATAAGCAAAAAACTGTTACAGATGACATCCACACACAAGTGCAAGCTGTTTTTTTTTTCTTCTTCTCTAATTTTGAAGGTTTGTGCATCTTTTGATGTTTACACACCCTTTTAAACATAGATGTAACCATAAATGAATATGTTGAATTTAATGAAAAATACTTCCTGGGGTTTTATCATGCATGTTTGTATAATATACAATTTACAAAGAGTCATGCATCTATCTTAAAAAATTGTAAATCAAAATGTTTGAAATTTGATCTTAGTGATTTTTACAACTTTTTCAGTACCTCAAGTTCAGCATCTCTATCAGGTCTCAGTGCCAGTGGTAATAAGAGATGATTCCTAAGATGTGGTGATCTGTCATTCTTCAGCACTTTACCAAGACTATTTAGCTGACCAGATATCAGAGCGAAATTATCCAGCACAGATGGCCTGAAAACAATGATATACATTGACAAAATAACTTCATGCTCTTTTATATCAGAGTCTTCGCACTTAACCACTAGTCCACAAGTCCAGGCTTGTAAAATTGCTTTCGGGCTTGTAAAATTTTTCTCTACAAGCCAACAGAATCCAACTAAAATTTTCCTAAAAATTGAGCTTTGGGCTTGTGGATTCAAAAGTTTATTGTGAAGACTGAATTATCATGTATAAAAAAAGCATATTCAATATTCAATTTTAATGTAACCATGACATGCATGATAATAACAGACAATTGCTTTTCAGAATTTATACTTCAATCGAAATGAAATAAAAGAACAGAAAGTCATGACAGTAAAAACTTAACACAAAAAAGAGATCGCAAAGACCAAGGAAACTAAAAGTAAGATTTCTTATCTTTGACAAGATATTGTTCAAATTTCAAATGTTTTGGACATATGGTACTTAACCATTTAGCAAATGTAAGTAAGATGGAAGCTACAAAAAACATGTACAATATAAAAATAATTGTGTTCTGTTAAACATAATTTTTTGAACATTGCAGATGTACAATGTTAATGAATTAAAAATATAAAGCAAGTAACTTGTAAATAATTGTCTAGTACTTGACCATATTTCCAGTGAAAAAATGAGCCTTGGTGGCCGATGTACAAAGTTCATCTACTGTATCACTAGCCTGTCAACAATGAAGTTGTCAGTTCAAACCCTGCAGGTGGCAGTTGCATTCGAGTCTCGACTCTAATCTTAATTGACTAGGATTGTCAGTTTTCCTGTTATATTTTCTCTCTGTGCACTCTGGGTTCATCCAGCAATAAAGACTGACTGCCCTAGTATAGTCAGTACTGCTGAAAGTGGCAGTAAACACCAACAATCAAAAGTGGCAGTAAACACTAACAATCAATCAATCATCCAGTGAACCTACCAGTGCGTTTGCAAATTCTGGGTGGAGTTACATTTTTTTAATTGTATAACTTTTTATATCATGTGTATGAAAGTTGGCCTGTTATTTAAAGGGGTTATTAGTCACATTTCAAAGTAATAAACAAAAAATTAAAACAATATATCCTACCAATTCAAAGTTTGATATTCATTTTCAAGCTTAAAAAGAAATGATGCAATGGAATTTTTGATATCCTGAACTCTGTGGATCAAAGCATCTACAGTGGCTTCTAATTGCTTTTCTTCTTTCTGAAAATAATAACAAATGATACATGTACTGCTAGTAAAACCTGTCTAAACAGAATAAATATTCCTCAGTAATTTTACTGGTCTAAGCCAAACACCTCATCTTACCCTCACAAAATTTCAGACCTAAAATGTTTGGGTTTACAAACTTTTCCATGTCATGATAAAATAAAGAAAATTCATTTTTGGTTACATGTAGTGTAGGATAATCCTGAAATGTATCAGACATTTTCAACGAAACCAAATAAGTGTTTATTTCTAACCTAAAAAATCTTGTTAAAACAACAATACAAAACAATGATTTCATCATGTTCATTGTTAAGGCCAAAATAAAATATCTTTGTGTTGAGGATTTCCAAAACAACCCTCTTTTATTTGCCTCAAAATTCCTACTTTTAAGGTTATATTGGCACTTTCTCCAGGTTCCCCATATACTTAAGGTTAACAAATATATAACAGATTTGAACAAACAAAGTGATCATCATACCTATTTTTCGTCAGAAAGTATAATTCATAAACATGTCGGTCCAACCTTTGCTTTTTGTGCCTGTAACACAAGTTAACAAGCTGTGTTACCTGTGTGCCATTTTTACCTGGAGGAAATTTCAATGTTACCAAAAGGGGTTCATATCAATAATTAAACATCTGCATACAACAGGTTAGGGAAGATCCTCATTAAGGTTCATGTGGACCCTTTGGCTAAAATGGTTGTGTTTTCACCACAAAATTTACTCTTGAGTACAGACTTACCTGTGCATGCAGAAAAGTTTTAAGGCATAGCATGCCCTAGATTTATAAAATTCAAATGCGTTTTGTGTTTTAGAAAATTTCAAACTTGACTGAATTTTTCTGTGCACTTTTTTTTTCGTTCCTGCACAAGATGAAATTAACAAACAGTTGAGTTTCACCTGATATGGTCCACAGTTTAAATCACCAATTATTGTCAGGTATTTATCTGTCTATTGTCCCTCTATTGTCCATATCAATCAATACAGATCACTTCAATAATTACCTATGGGAGGTTCTCAAACCGCTTTCCCAATTTTGTTTATTTTTCACATAATTGGAATGAAAAAAAGTGCACTGCAAATCTACATGTAGTTGAGTTTTTAATTTTCTACAAAAAATAAAATGTATTTGAATTTTATTTATCTATGCCTTAAATTTTTCCAGACAACATAGGTTTGTCTGTACTCAGAGGTGAAAATGCAGCCATTTTACCCAAGGGGTCCACATGAACCTTAATTGATATTATCCTCATTTATGAGTATAGTTACCATGGTTACCCAAATCAGGTATTAGTTTCCAGTGATAAAATTATAAACTTTTGATTTCAAGATATTTGCTGTTTTTTATCGCTGAAAATTGATACCAGATTTTGAGTATAATACCCATAGACCACTCTCGAATTCATGCACTTTCAAGTAAAATTCCTATGTCACAAACGTAACAGTAAAAACTGATTGTTCGATGACATAGCTTATGCCGATTGACCTCAGGTCAACCTGTGTGACTCATTCATAATCATAAAAAAACAATTTGAGATTCAATGGTGCAGGGTTTCCGCTGGCGGTGGCCATTTTCCCTATTATGCGAAAAAAATAAAAATTGTGGTGATTAAATTCATTATTGGTGAAAGAAATATAACAGTTCGACTAGGTCCATCTTGTTTACTTTTTTCAGGTTTCTCAAACTTTTTCCCTGATCATGCTGATCAGACAATACATGTACATGGAATTCCCATTGAATTCCTTGCTGATTGCATTTTATAGCTATCGGCAACAATGGACTAATTAATAAAGGTTTTCCTGTTTGAATTGTTTTACACTAGTCATTTTGCGGCCTTTATAGCTTGCTGTTCCATGTGAGCCAAGGCTCTGTGTTGAAGGCTGTACTTTGACCTATAATTGTTTACTTTTTATACATTGTGATTTGGATGGAGAGCGGTCTCATAGGCACTCATACCACATCTTATTTATGTTGGTTGTATTGTTTAATGAAATGGTGTGGTTCAATTATAGACAACAATGCAGCAAACTGAAGTTGTTTAAGTTAAAAATAAGGAAAATTTTGAAAGGAAAATATGTTTATGTTAGTTGGCGAAAAAAAAATTAAAGTGGCGAAAAATATGCTGTTTTGGCAAAACAGGTGGTGAAATAGAAAATTGACACAGGGGAAACCCTGGATACACATTATCGCCATTTGGAAATCTGCGCTGCTTGACCAGAGAATCTGTGCCGCTTATACTATCCACATGCGAAAGTCTCTTAGGCATTAAAATTGACCCTTCCGTTACATGGACAAATCAAATTGATTTGATCTGCTCAAAAATTTCATCTAGGCTATACCCACTATAAAAGATTAAGAAATTTCTAAATCAAGACTGCAGAAAATTATTCTATAATGGTCATATCTTACCACTAACTGACTATTGTTGTATAGTGTGGAGTAGTTGTAGCAGTGAGGGTTTAAACAGAGTTCTCGATAAGTGGTGGTCCTAGGGATTTGACCACAACATTTTTGGGAAGGACCAACACAATTTTGGTACATTGCAATAGAATGATAGTGAGGACCTTCATATTTTCTTCAAGGACGGTCCACCAGGCAAAAAAAGATTTCAGGAACTCTGTTTAAACAGGATAATAAAATTACAAGAGAGCTGCTAGAATAATACAAGAAACAGACCCTTTCGCTCCTTCCGAACCCTTATTCAAACTCTTAAACTGGATGACAGTTGAACAGAGAATAAAATATCACAAGTTTGTGATGACATTTAAGTGCATCATAAATGATGCCCCATCATATCTTACAAGCAAGTTTCATTGTTTCAAACAGAAATCCATACCCATTGAGAAATGCTGTTCAAGGAAACCTCAAAATCCCTTAACCAAAAATAGAATTGTTCCAGAAATCTTTTATGTATTCTTGACCATTCTTGTGGAATAATATGCCAATATCGTTAAGAAATATTACAAATGTCAATTCTTTCGAATACAAAATAACAGATCATTTACTGAAATTTTCCTGCTGAAAAAAATATTGAATACTGATTATTTCATCATGTTTATTTTTTCATAACATTTTTATCAAGTTGTATTGAACATTATCATCATACTTGACTTTTATACTAATGTATGCCAGGTATATGTTTGCATTTTTGTTTATGCTTTTCTATGATGAGGGCCTCAGGGAAGATTATTTATATAGCTAACTGTGCAACTCTACTTAAATAAAGCATTGTTGTTGTTGTTGGTAATTGACGTCATACAACAATCGCTTCCCATTGTGGCATCAGATATTTTCTTTAATAATGTCAAAATTTTACACGAACCTTTGTGATGTCCAGTAAAGGCGGTCAAATAGCAATAAGGTGTATTGGTGTATTTAACGCTTTCATGTCGATCCGGCCCAAGTCGATCCGTCCCACGTCGATCCGGCCCAACGTCGATCCGGCCCAATAAAAAAATATATTTATGAGGATTAAAAATAAAGATATATATTAATTGTAATTCATAAATGTTTATGAATTTTATTATAATGTAAAAGGTGTACGGAAAAAAAAATTGGCCTTTGACAAATATTTTCTTCAAAAGAGTTTAAAACAACTATGTTGATTATGTTTTCATTTCAAGTTTTCAAGATTATTGGGTATAATTATAATCAACATTAATCAGCAGTAATTAGCATTTTCTTTCAATTGACTGCGATCCTTTGTAATAACAAATAGTTACATACACAACGGTACAAGCCGATCCCCAAGCTGATACATTCAAACTTTGTTTTTTGTTTTAAGTTCTTAAAAGAAATGTTGTTTGATTTGCCGAATCCTTTCTATAAAAGAGGAGACAGAATGCGTTTGCTTTTGATATCACAATGGCTTTTCCTTGTGTGGTATGTGACCAACATGTTAGACCTCGGCAGCATGCACTTCAATGTGAGCAATGTTCAAAGTGGCAACACCGTCTCTGTCATACCGGTAAGTTTCTATTTTCACTTTTTGCTTTAATATAATCAAACTGTAATTTTGTATATAAGTCTTAAATATTTTTGTCTTTGCTTTCATCATTAAATCATTAAACCATAAATATGAAAAAAGTATATAGTTTTGTTTTAAATCTGGGAATATTAACTTCTGTGTTTTTCAGGTGTTAAATGGCAAAAAGCTTATAAATTCAATTTTTTTGTATTATACATTTGTATTTTACATTATAAAGATAGATATTTACTTTTTTAAATTCCTTTATAGGGGTATCTCTACTGGAATACAGACGCATGGTAAATGAAGAAATAGATGTGATCTTCACGTGCATCGAGTGTAATTATTTTGTTATTATCTTACAATAAAGAATAATGGATACTCATATAACTTGTTTTTTTATCTACACACAACTATTCAAAATATTGTCAACTTAAAAAAAATATACTGACTATATTCGATATTACAAAAAAAAAAACGTGTTATAGAAGCCTCTTATGTTACCTGAAAAAAAATACAATTAATTATTATAACACATACATTGTAACACCAAACAAAAGATCAAACTATAAAGACCAGTGATTACGTAACTTTAATCAATCAGGATTTGATTGAATTAAGTGATCACGAGTGGCATTACCTTAGTTCACAATCATTAGACAATTGTTGCATTAACAAACCAATTATAGACTAATGATTTGATAAAACAAGTCAATATGATGAGTTAAATTTTACAGGTTCCATTGGACTGTAAATATTTATTAAGCTTTTCTGTGTGTGAATTAAATAAAATAAAAAATCGCCATGACGTTCAAAGTTATCATGGAAAATAACTTCATATTAATATGTTGACGCTGCTATATAAACAGACACAATCACACTCATTTTAGTATCGATTTAAAATAATTCTTTGACTGGTACTCCAATACTTCACTTACCTGTTGTCATCCATCATTTTTACAAATTCCATTTAAAAAAATACTGTTAAAATTTGTTACAAAATCCTCCAAAGTCAATATAGTTTATTCATATTTTATTATGGGGCCGGATCGACGTAGGGACGGATCGACGTGGGCCGGATCGACCTGGGCTGGATCGACTTGGGGCCGGATCGGTTTGGGGACGGAACGACCGGATACCTATTTAACTAAGGGTATCCCACCAACCTCAACTTGGGTAAAAAAAAATCCTTTGCATTGTAGGTGACATGTGAAGCCATTGAACCACAACCACACCATTTCATCAATGTCAAAATATCAGTTTTTTTTATATGAGTCTTACGAACAGGGAAGAAACCAAACGCATGCACTTTTTTCTCTTAAAAAAACAACATCGAGGGTTTTTTTTTATGAGAAAGAAAAAAAGTAACATCTTTTTAACTCAAAATCCCTGCAGGGATTAGAAGGCATCTCATCCTAAAGGTTCGTGTCTTCTTTTAACTGTTCCTTCAAAACCAACTCTCAATTATTAATGTTATCCTATAAAATGAATTTTTAACCTGCATTTTTTCCTTGTAATTCTTGATTTATTAAACCGGAAATTCAATACCGATCAACGCATGCGCATTAAATAGAATAAACCAAATCGCATATCAGCCATATTTTCAACGTTCTGAAAAGACAAAATTTTATTATATAAATTTTATATCAAGAATATTCAAGACTGAAAGGTAACTGTTTTGAAACACATACACTTCCAGGTTCTACATCAAGTCACTTTGAACCAATCCGCGCACCTTGTTTCATTGAATAATTCTTTGTTCTCATTGGTGGGTAGGTCAGTGTTGATTGGGTGTCGATTCCCGACCAATTTATTGGTCCACTCTTCGACCCAATCTCCAATGATAATTTACAAACTTTTCCCTGTATCAAAGAAGTAGCAATCTATAAGTGAATTAAAATGTTTCTCCAAATAAACTTGCTGAGATATCAGCGGTCATGTGTTTACAAATATCCCCTCACGGACAGGCCAAAAATGGCTTCCTTTTGCTTTCTATTTTTAGAATGCCTCTACAAAAACAAAATCTTAAATGAACTTCCCATTTTTTACAAAATATAAACCTCTGGCGGTATCTGAGAAAAACAAGTGAAGAAATGCAGGATGAGACTGATCAAAGTAAGACATTGAAACATTCAGATTAGGCATATTCATTTTTGCAGTTTTGTACAACAAAAACATCCCCCTTTTTTTCTTCTTTTTCTTGCATTTGAAAATTATAGGAAACTGTCTCTGAAATGAATAAATGTCCTAAGGATATTGGAATAGTTTGAATAATATTTTTTTATAGTTTTGCCACAATGTTGAGATTTTTACATTTTCTCAGACAGTGTGGCAAAATTGTTATGAACCGAAAATAAAACAATCAAGGAATACAAACTTTATTTAACTTCTTTTTTAAATGTGTGCCATTTAAGGCTTAAAACCCAGACACAAACGATTATACTAAATATTTTTGGTGTATTCCTCATACACTGTAATTTTTCAGTGGGTAATCATGGTAATGAGTCCAATTTATTCAATAATTTTTTTTAAAACATGTTAAATTGGCAAACATAAGCAAAAAAATGCAATTTCAATGCCTGTTACCTAGTTGATCATTTTTATCTATGATTTTGAAAACCATAACAGATATATATGTGAAACTAGAGTATAGAAAAAACAAAAATTTGGTCTTAATTATAGTATTCCCTGTGGTCAGGCTTGGTAAATTTAGACTCCAAGCATGCCAAGGAGTGACTTGTTTTATTTTTACAGTGGCATAACTTTCACATTTCTTTTCACAAAATTTACATCTGATTCAATGAAAACAATTTTTGATTATTGCCTGATAAGACAAACTGCCATGTTATGATAAGAAATTTAAGTGTTCAAAGTTGGATAGTGTACGGCTTTGAAAGTTGAAGTACGCACATTTGATATGTGATTTTCTTGGACAAGAGGATGGTTATCTTTATAAATATTCCACTCTACCTAGGTGAACATTTAATGAGGGATATTATTTGAAAAATATTTTTTTTACAATACTTTTTAATATTGGAATTCAAGGGACCTAAAATATACTATATATATACATGTACATGTGTCATACACAGTGGCGGATCCAGAGGGGGGCATAGAGGGCGTACTTTACTTGCACTTTTTTTTTTAATTAAGAATGTAAAATGATTAATCAGACTAGATTTCGTTAACTTTGCCATTTCTCGTATATTTTATGCGACAATTCGTTACTTATAAAGATATTTTATAAAGAGCTGATGTTTACTTAAGTGTTGTTGTCAATGTAGCGGTATTATAAAGATATTATTCGCTTGTACATGTATTTACGTGTAATATATTATTGATTATGTCAAAGTTACGTGATTCCCTACCGTGGAGTTGACCAGATCGTTGAAAAAATCGTCACTCAGTCATTTTGAAATTCAAATTACAGACAAATATATGTGTATATATTTGAATCAAACCAATGTATGAGAACTAATTTGATAAGGGCTCATTGAGAGCAGGATTTCAAAACATATATGAGTGAACAGAATACAGAGACAGAAACAATTTTAATTTTCATCATCAAAAGTTATTATAATTGATAAAAAAAACTGTCAAAATCTCAGCTTTAGTTAACTCCCTTTGCACAGCAACTTGGGCAAGTGAAATTTTGCCATATGGCATTATGTACAAATGTAAATTACACTTTGTTCCAGACAATATTTAATTAGAGCAATAAGCATTTACACTATAAATTATGAGCAGAGCATACATCCAGTTTTGTGGTAGAGAAAGACTACAAGTGAATGTAATACAACAAAGGTTGATGCCTGACTAGACAAGATGCACTGTTAAATTAGGCTTAGGTCTTGATGTGTTTAGTAGGAATATTATTGTCAACTTTATGTCTAGCTGTTGTTTAGTCCACATCAGCCAGCTACAGATTATACTGCACTTAAGCAAAATAAAACAGCTGTGTTTCAACAATACATGTATTAGTCATGTGTCAGTAAGATAAGGAAAGTTGATACCTGAAGCTGAAGAGAGAGTTGAATCGAACAATGCAGTTTCTTATCTAAATGCATGTACCAGATGCAGATTTTAGAACTCTGAAGGGGCAGGGAGCTTCATATATGATAAATGTGAAGACTTTTTATAAGTATCACTCTAAACGTTGGCTTGCCAGGGGCTCCCCTTTTTCAAAATCAAGGATCGGCACATGTGTACATTAGAACAAAAAGTGTTCTCCTTCATCTATTTCATCTTAGCTGGTCCTGTATATAGACTGCAATGTAAATTGGTATTACAATGTATGAGAAATATAACATTCGTGAAATTTTTCTGTACCTATATTATAGCTAGGGCTTTTAATTTTGAGAATCACACAGCAGTTTCTACAGTGTATGCAAGTAATAGTCACAAAGATATATCAGCTTACAGTCATGAGTTAGTCAGAGATTTTGAATTGCTTTATAATGTTACATGTATGTTGGTCCACAGTACAGCAATATAAGGTCACAATGTCCTACACTTAAACATTAATGGTACACCTGTCATGCCTTTGGATTTATGATAACAAATCTGCTTAAGCATCAGTGGTCTTTTTAAAGGGGTACCCAAAAAACACTTTGACAAAAAATAGATTTGGCTTGTTTAATTTTCATAAAATTTTGACAAAATATTTACTAAATTGACCTGTTGACAAAAATAGAGGAATTTCAAGAAATTTGAACCACACATTTTATAGGAATAATTTCATTGGATGTATAGACAAACTCTAATTATAATCATTGAGAAGCTTGGTTTCTCTTTACTAATAGGTTAAAATATTCAACTGACTTGTAACTCCTTTTATAGGTGTCCTGTACCCCATTAAAATTACTTAACAGTTTAGTAGTAACACCTCAGTCAGTGGAATTTTTTATATGTACAAATCAACATATATGTATGATATATACAAAAATCTATGATGCTTTCTACCTTACTTTTCTTTTGTCATTCAGATCATATAGAATATGTTACTGTTAATAAAAACAAAAAATGGGAGTTACACACTGAACATGTTGGTGTTATCTTTTATAGTTCAAATATTGTTTACAATTGTATATTAGGGTCTAGATGGAGGGTTCTTCATTTTGTGTATTTTTTAACTTTTTATGTCATTTTTCTCTTATTCTTTGGGTTTTTTTGCCCATTTTCTTTACTAAATTGTTTTCATTCTATCTTCCCATTATTCTCAATTTTGTTTTTGGCCTTTTTTTTCTCTATTCTTTATCTTTTTTCTCTTTTCTTCTCTTTTTTTTGCCCATATGCCCATTGTTCTCTAACCCCTATCCATACCCTCATATATCCTTTTTTTACCAATTTTAAACAATCACTATATGATTTAAGGTACTACACCTGGATAAGCTTAACTTCAGGAAAAGTTATGTTGCTCCGAAATTTTCATTATCAATTATTTTCCTGGACTTTCAACAGGATATATGTGCTTGTAATGTAAAACAATTACACATATTATTTCCTATTAACATAGAACATGTTAAAACATTATATTAGTACACATATATAGAAATACTGAAAGGTACATTTGACCCAGGGATTATGTAATAAGGAAAAGATTTGTAGGTATAGTATACAGTTGTATATATGTCTGGAACATTTTTATTTTACTTGTACATGTACATGCTATATATACAATGTATGGAAAGTTTAAATCAATAAATAGTTTATTTGTCAAACCATGGAAGTAATATTGAAATATGGTCAAACAAACAACTGCTTAATGCATATATGCATCATGCTAAAATCAATGATTTTGATAATATTCCTTCATGCTTAATTTTTTTCAACAAGGCAACTGGTCTACCTTTTCGGGTTTCCTCTATTGCTAATTGACCATTAATATTAATTGCCACTTTTCCATTTACTTAGAAACCATTTATCATTGTACTTTTAGATTTGTTAATTTTAACATGTTATGTTTTCAGAACACCAACAAGGAAATGTCAAATAAAATCTATGGTGTTATGATAATGTTATTTAATAGTAGTTAGACAGAAAAAATTGAAAAGAGAAAGTCAATTTAACATTTAAAAATCATTTTCAGAGAGTTTCCAAGATGGAGTATCCAGCATCAGGACAGTCTCCTAATGCTGCAACAATAAGTGGTGAAGCTGCAGCGATGTTGAACACTTTCTGGCCTGATGCAATGAAAGAGATCAGAGATTTGAAGAATGTACGTACATTTGTTTAAACTTATTATTGGTAATTTTTTACTCAGGCTAAATAAAAAATCTTTAAAAAAGAAGAACTTATTCTTAAAATACATCAAATTCTTGACAGTATTGACTGTGTAATCGATCACATAGAATTGTAACCCCATTGGTACAGGACTATTCATGGTCATCATGGTCATATTTTGGAATACTCTTATATACCTTTATACATGTACTTACAAAAAATTAAATTGTCTAAATAATGAGGAATTATCCAGAAAAAAGTGAAGCCAATCTACAAAAAATCAACAACAAAAATACACTTGCATATATATATAATTTAATACTATGCAAATCAGAATTTATAAATTATGAAATACTTGTAATTATTTGAGTAATAGTGAGATATCATTTTTAAATAGCTGATAAGAAATTATTATAATACGAGGCAGTTGTAAAAACCTGTGAAAGAGGATGAAATCCTTAATATTTTCATGATACATTTTGGTTATTACACAAACTGTTACATGTAGATATACAAATTTGAGGGAAATCCTGTGCTTTGGCAAAATTTCCACAATTTTGAGAAGCTAATCCTAAGGGATTTAAATCTGTGCAGTTAAAGTTACATATGACCTATTTTTTTTCCTTGTCAAAATAAATAAGTGGAATAATTTGTAGAGTTGTCTCCCATAGTACAGTTATAATGATTGATTTGTTTTGTAGGATGATTTCAAACAACAGATACTGCCATTGGCAAGAATTAAAAAGATCATGAAATTAGATGAAGATGTAAAGGTATGCTTTATTTTGTACATATAAACATATACAAGAAATGTATCTACAGTGTTTCCGATAATATTAGTGGGATACCAAATTTTCGTAGATATTCAGGGCCAGTCTGAGCCTTTTAGCCACTAGTCAGATGCCCCAGACTAGAAAATATTTTTTGGACTTGTATGTTTTTGCGAAGCTTTGTTTTAGACACTTAAGAAAAATGTTGGAATATTGGTCTTCAGACTAGAAGTAGGAAAAGATTTTGGTGCAGACCGTTTCCTAGATAGAGGGACACTAGAAATTTAAATACTTGACAAAATACAAATTTTAAGGTACTGTGATAGGAGAAAATGATGAAACAACAAAATACAATACTTTAAAAATATCAATTTATTTTCCAAGAAATTATGTCAATGAAAAAATATGTAAATTGACAGTAATATACAGGTAGTCTTGAGTGCTCATGTGGCAACTGGCTAATAAAGCTAACAACAATCAATCATTGTGTACATTCATGTGTTATTTATATCTGACATTAGTCAATGTTAGTGGTTTATAAAAATAGATATGAAATGCAGAAATATATTATAGGTCTGTGAAATCTAACCCAGGTTCACTTATTTGTAGCTTATACTTAATACTACTTAATATTGAACATGTTATCTCTGGGCGTTATACAATTATTGGTGTAAGTCAAAATTTCATTGCTTACCTCAACAGATATTAATTAAGAAACATTTATATACATGTACTTATAAAATTGAGAATGGAAACAGGGAAATTTGTCAAAGAGACAAAAACCCGAGAGCAGAAAACAGCTCAAGGCCACCAATGGGTCTTCAACACGTGAGAAAATCTCGCACCGAGAGGCGGGCTTTAGCTGGCCCCTAAACAAAAATGTATACTAGTTCAGAGAAAAATGGACGTAAATCCCGAAACATATAAATGAATTTAAATTAAAAAAAGACTAACAAAGGCCAGTAATACATATGAATAGTCTTGTGAAAATTAATTTGCTCATTGAGTCTGATATCTAATATAATTTTTTTTTCTTTTAAATCTTTTTAGATGATAAGTGCAGAAGCTCCAGTATTATTTGCCAAAGCTGCAGAGATATTTATTAGTGAGCTCTCATTAAGAGCCTGGATACACACTGAGGACAATAAAAGAAGAACATTACAGGTATGATCTAAAAAAGGATTACCGATCTGGGGTATAAGTGGATGTGGCATCAATTCAAAAGTAAAAAGTATGAATAAAAAGAGATGTGGGGTTTACACTGAGGAGACTGTAGTCTAACAACATAGAAAAAAGCAATAAGAGTAAATAATTGCTACATCATATTATTAATCTTGAAGTTTTTTGGTTTAATTAACTTTAACCTGTTCATTTGTAATTGAAGAGAAAAACTATTCACAGTAAATTAAAAAAATTTTTTTAAAATGTATAAAAATGAGACACATGTAAAAGGATTTCTTTTATTTCTTTGGACTCCATCCTGTCCAAGTTTTACTCTTGATTTAAGCAAATTATTCTTCTCTCATCATAAGTCAAAGGAACATATAAGAACCTGTCCACTGTAGTACCAGTAAGGTGAATGGTCCACCAGTTCTTCAGAGGGACATTATGAAAAGTCCTTAGAAAACTAAGTGTCTAAAGGGTCTACGACCTCATTCTCAAGATTTTCTAACATCTTATTTAGTAGAGTTCAAGGTTGTTTTATATTTCAAACTATGGCAGTGCACATAAACTATTTGTCTGTTTTTTTTTTTTTTTTAGAGAAATGATATAGCAATGGCTATTTCAAAGTTTGACCAGTTTGATTTCCTGATAGATATTGTACCTAGAGATGAACTTAAACCTACAAAACGAACGGTAAGTGACTTGAAGAGCTTTAAGTTATACTGTGGATTCATTATTATTCCTGGGATACCAATTTTCGTGGATTCCCATATTTAAATGTTCAACAATGTAAAAATTTTCTATAGGCTTCTATGCATAATTTTGTAAAACCACGAAATTAAACATCCACGAACATAATTTTTTCCTTTACCCCACCCAAATTGGTACCCATGAAAAATAAATATTTCCACATTAAAAAAAAAGCTAGTTTCAATCGATAAAAAAACAAAAATAATATATAAAAGATTTTTAGTTATGGCTATTCCAGAAACAAAAGTAATATTAATACTATGACAAATATGCATGATTTACTGTTATTTTAGTTAAAATCAGGTAAACAATTTTAAATTTAAAAAAAAAAACAATTGATAGACAGTAACCAAGCATGATTTTATTTCCAGGAAGACACATCAAGAGCTAACAACATGTTGCCAGAACAAATACAGTATTATCTACAGCTAGCTCAGCAACAGGCACAGCAAGCACAACAAGCTCAACAACAGCAACAACAAACAACACAAGCCACACAGCAAGTCACAACACAAGTGACACAGCCAACACAGATACAACTGCCAGGTACTCAATTTAACTCAAAATGTCAACAACGGGGCTTACTTCTTTGTCAACATCTTCATCATTATGTGCAATGAAATATCTGATTTATTTAAGTTTTCATGATGAGCTCAAAATCGTCCAACCTTCCCACATGGGAGATAATCAATGTCATCAAATGGTCATCACGAGGTTGCACTACATGATTTTTAGATATATATTTTGTTTCTAACGTCATCACACATGGGTCATATCAAGCACAGGTAAATGTAGGACATAACAATTTAAACAAATCTTAACAAAGCTGAATGCATATGTGCATAAACACATTCAAAACTTTTTAGTTAACAATAAAGAGACGAAACATCATTGCAAAATAAAATGTTAATATCGTAGAGGATGCATAAATTTAGCTACATCTTTAAATATACTATTTGTTACACTTACTTAAAACTGTTGATGCAATTTTTTTTCTGTAAAGGGAGCAAAGATAGATTTAAGAATAGTTTTGAAAGAAACAAATCAGTGAAGGAGTGAAGGTATATTTCAGTAGCTTAATTTGCAAAATAGAAAAAAAAACAGATTTGAATTTACTTGCAGGTGGACAAATACAGAATGTTATACAGCAACCAGCCTACCAAATACAAACAGCTTCTAATACTCTTGTAAGTCTTCTAACAAAATAATGTGTCAATTTTTGATCTATTTAAAAGATAATTTATAAGGTTTAAAAAGTAGTTTGATGGAGAATTTACTATGAGTAAGCTTTATTATTCTACAGGATTATATCAGATTTAGTGGGGAAACTAACTCTAATTATAAAATTGAATAAAATTTCATTATTGCATATAATGTCAACATTTGACATATTACCTCACTCAATTGCATGCAGCAATGCAGGTCCAGACCTGGTATTGGTCTTGTTCAGAATTGCTTTTGCAGATTACATTTATTTTCTAATACAGCAGCAACAACCACAGGTGATACAGATCCAAGCTCCCTCTGTACCACAGCAAGCACAGGTACAAACTGTGACAAGCAACCAGCCCACCATTCAACAAGTCCAGGTTCAACAACAACAACAGCAGCAACCCCAACAACAAACACAGGTCTATCAGCAAGTAATAACAGCTAACGGAGAAGTACAAAATGTTCCAGTAAGTGTTTTACTAGTCGTCATATGTTTTTTTTAAGCCATATGTTATGTTCTGAATTAAAGTCCGGGAATAATTATTATTTTTCTCCAATTTCCATAAGAAAATAAGTTTTTTATAGTTCTGATAATAGGGAAATATTTTTTTCAACTTTCCCATTGGAAGGGGGTTTGTACCATGATAACCAGATAAACTAGAAAAGTTTGATGCTTTTATATAATATAAAAATAAGAAGATGTGGTATAATTGCCAACGAGACAACTCTCCACAAGAGAACAAATGACACAGAAATTAACTATAGGTCACCATAGGGCTATCTTTAGAAATATGTTTCTTTTTTCCCCAACCCAGTTTTCCATTTTTGTGTAGGATGCATTGTCATTCTTCAGTAAAAAAAATTTAAATTAAAAGACAGTTCCTATTTTGTGTAATCAGCTACTACTGAACTTTTTAACTTCACAGAAAGTTTGTACACCTAAGTACACAAGTACGAAAGTATGCAACTCTCATTATGGAGTTGATAAAGGATTTTTTCCCCAAATATTCACATTTTATATTTCTATATACTCAAATGATTATTGTAGACCATTTTCTATTGTTGAAGAAACGCACTGTGCAACGTACCCAGGGGCTATTTGCACAAAAAATATTACAACTATCAAAATTTAAAATGCAACTTTTAATTTTTACCAATCTACCCTGTTGCAATTTTGGCAATAATAGATACATTGCAAAAATTTGTGAATTTACAGTTCATCTCTGAAAAATTTATCCTGGTGTTAGCCTTATGTTATAATATACGAACTAAATATTTTCAAGTATTATTATAATTCTGTTTTTATCTTATCATGGTATCGAGAAATTCACAAAAATTGACACATCATAAATGATGTACCTACAGTAAGCAGACATTGTTGTGTAGATTTTCACATGTTATACACTTTAACTTTCAGATACAATTAACACCAGCACAGCTACAAGCAATACAGATGCAGTTACAAGGGAAACAAACCAATCAAAATGTTATTATTCAGCAAGGGGCACAACCAGCTGTTCAAACAGTGTCAGCAGATTCTCAGTTTAATCAGGTAATTGATTATTTTTAAAAGTCTCTCTTAATTCACTGAGATTTCCGTTATTATTCAGCAAGGGGCACAACCAGCTGTTCAAACAGTGTCAGCAGATTCTCAGTTTAATCAGGTAATTGATTATTTTTAAAGTCTCTCTTAAATCACTCAGATTTCTGTATTACTATTATTTTGGTAAATACCAACAAAATGATCACAATTGACTTTGTTTGTAGGAGAAAATGTTCATAAAGTTATAATAGTTTATAGGTCAATGATATATGTAGGAAAGTTTTGGGGAGTTTTAAATCAGTTCCATCTGTTCAAATTTAACAAACAAATCTAAGGGAACAGAACAAGATGGTGAGATTCAATATAGAGGTTAGGGAAGCTGCTATAGCAGCATTGGGATTGGCAATTATTTATGATAAATAAAATCAAAATAAAGATTCTACCATGAAAATTATTGTTATTTTTCCATTGCTTACCAATTTAATCATTAGATTCTGATCACCAATCACATGTTTTAATATAGAGCATCACCCAATTTGGACCTTTAATTAATTTTGTTGATACAATAACATAAAGCCACTACAAATTAAAACAGCAACTATAAAAATAAGAAGACAACTCTCCACAAGACACTTAATGACATAGAAATTAACAACTATTGGTCACCGTACGGCCTTCAAAAATGATCGAAACCCATACCGTAAAATCAGCTATATAAGGCCCCGAAATGACATATGTAAAACAATTCAAACGAGAAAAACTAACGGCCTGATTAACTATGTCTATTATATATTGAAAACCATTTAAAACAAGATGAAAACTATTTGTAAGGCAATAAGAGGTACTATATTGTGTAATGACTTACCTTAGTTGTTAGAATTATGATTTTTCATTTGATATTTCTGGATAGTTAATTTTTAAAAAATTTCGTACTTGTGATTTTGTTTTCACTATGATCTAAGGGAAATAATTCAAACTTTTTTTTTTTAATTTTACAGCAAATGTTCCAAATTCAACAGCTTCCTGGACAGAGTGGACAGCAGATTTATATACAGCAATCTGATGACCAAACAGATGGAGCACAAGATGTGTCATAGCTTTAGTGACAAATATTTTAATCATCAAATCATGGTACATTGTTTAACTGCCATAATTGGTTTACATTTTCTACATTAACATTCAAACCATGTTTCAAGCCAAAGCTTTATTTATTTTGCATTGTTCAGTTCATAAATAGGACCATTGATTCCAGGAAGAAAGTCTGAGCCATATATGTATATATAAACATAAGTCTAGCTTAGAAATTTTCTTAAATTGCCTGCTGGAAACAGTTATTGTGGGAATCCTGAGCTTTATGGCAAAGAATACATAATTGTTATTGAAATTGTGTTCAAAGCAGGCTGGTTTGTATCAGTTTGTAATCCTTATATTTTTCAGATATGAATTTGAAAGAATATCATGTAAATTTCACATAAAAGATTTCATTGGGAATAACATAAAGAATAAAATTCACATGAGAAAATTTTACATAGATATCCTTAAAACTTCAGGTTCCAATTTTAAGTTAAATTCAATAAGTTAAATACACTTATAGAAAAATGTATCAACCCCCAAAAGTTACATTATAGTAACATATAGTTTATGCAGTTCTCAATGTGAGATAGCATTCATATCATTTTAGAATTTTGATGTGTTTGGAAATTTGCCTGAGCACAGTTTGATAAAAGAAACTCAAATTATCAAGTATAATTCTAATAATTCTCTCACATATTCCTTAATTACTTTTTAAATATCACATATGAAATAAACAACTGTCAGATGGGGCTAAATTGCAATCATCTTGTCCATCCTTGTCAGACATGTATTTTCGTCACACTTTTCCCCAAGAAACTACTATTAAAATAGAATAAATTTACATTGGGTCAGCAGCTTTAAAGAGATGAGTTGTAAATCGTAGCACTTTTTGGATCTGTCAGATATATGCTTCCTTTTTGCCGATACTTTTCCAAAATGTTTAATGAACTTAAATTTAAGTTGTACATTTCTCCAATACTACTGACCAGAATGCCTTCATATTCTGTCGGCAGCTCAACCTTGAATGAGTTGTAACATGTTAGGTATTTTGAGAAATGTCAGACACATACTTACTGTTTTTTATACACTTTGAATTACAAGTGAGGGTATGCCATAGCACAAAAATGTGTGCATTTTTGTTAATTCACTGAAATATTCTTGTTGTTTTGTAATATATCAAAAGTAATTTAACAATGCTTTCGCAGTAACAGCAATTTAAAGGGAAAATTACAAATAACTTTTTCAACATTCTTCTAAATATAATAAATACTGAATTTATTATGGAAATATGACTTACCACTCATAGTTCTGTATAGCAGAGAATCAAAACATAACAATAGATTAGTTATACCTGTTATGTAATATTTTAAAAAAGAAAGAAAAAGGGAAAATCTACATTTTTTTACCCCTTAATACAAATCTTTTGTTAACACAGACATTTCTTTTTCTTTAATGGCCTATATAGCTAAGAGGCATGTTCTAATAGGAAAATGGAAACAAAAAATAAACGCCCATTTATGTTGTTGAAATGGAGAGTAGATAGGATTGTGAATTAATTGTATAGAATATAAATTATTATTATAATGTCATACAAATTTTTGTTTTTGCATCTTTAACAATGACTTTTATTGTGCAGTTACTGTATTGTGTTCAGACGGCTGTAGCATTTTTTTTGAAAGTTTACACATGTTTACTTGTATACACATGATAACTTGTAAAAAGATTCAGATTCAGATTCAATATTTTATTATAAATGATATTTATGATTAATGTTAATTCAACATAAGATTCCAAATTATCAACATATATTTTTAGGTCAAATTAGAGAGTTGGATTTTCTTGTATATTTTAAACTAATGCTCTCCTCAGAAATTATGTGTCAAATAACAATGCTATGGAATTACTTGATATTCAAAATACATTTATTTTTGAGTAAATTAATCATAAAATTATAAGAATTTCACAAAATTTAAAAGCTTATTTAATACTCTTGATTCCAATCGTTATCTTTCCGTCAAAGAGTTTGGTTTTAGGTGACGTCATTTGTGCGTTTGTTGGGCATAAAATCTACGTCAGTACGTTGAGCTAAGAGATGAATATTCCAATGGGAATAACTTCCTTATGACTGCCTCGATAACTGATTTTAAATGATGAAATTATATATAACTTTAGGCAGGGTTGGATTATGTACATAAGAATAGACGAGTGTTTGAAAAATGTCAAGCAGTCACAATTACTTTATCAGTTCAAAGATGCAGGGATTCAGTTAGCCCTTAAAACGTTTAAATGACGTGAGAAATCAGAGTATAGTAAAAGAGTATTTATGGTTATGGAAATGATATGGATCAAACGTATTTACTAGATAAAAATTCTCCAGTTTCTTACAACAAACCAATTTGAAATCCAGGTCATACCTTATACAAATACTTTAGATATTCTGCACACACCATTAGTTTCAGATCAATGAATGCTACCGTTTTTATTTTTTTATTTTATTGAACAAAAATATCTGCTTCTCCTTATTTATTGTCATTTTCTGAACTTGGTCCTTATTATATTTCACTTAAAGTGGTACGTCATTTAGTTTCATTTTAATAAGCATGTTTATTATTATGTCTTGTTATTTTATTTATGTTGAAATAAATTTTTATTTCTTTTTTATGAATTTGTTTGTATCAATTCATGGCAGGATCAATAACTTACACTAAGCTTTGTCAAGGATATAACATTAAATATAATAATCTTTTGTCACATGAAATTTGGTGGGAGTGTAGTAAAACTCTTTCACCTTGTCAAGTATGTAAGTGTTGGTCATGGAATATATACATATGTTATAGACGTAAGAGGAATATTTTATACTGGGATGTTGTTGGGGTCACACATGTTATTTGTATACATTTCACATGGCCAACCTTTGCTAGAATCAGTTAGTCTCTGATAACTCCTTAGACTAAAATTGAGAATGGAAAGGAAGAATTTGTGGAAGAGACAACAACCCGACTACAGAGCAGAAAACAGCACACAAATGGTTCTTCAACACAGGGAGACAATCCCGCACCCGAAGGCGGGTTTTAGCTGGCCCCTAAACAAAAATGTATACTAGTTCATAGAAAATGGTCGTCACACTAAACTCCGAAACATATAAAAAAAAAAATATTAAAAAAATATACAAGACTAATTAAGGCCAGAGGTTCCTGACTTAGGAAAGGCACAAAAATGTGGTGGGGTTAAACATGTTTTGTGAGAACTCAACCCTCCCCCTATACCTCTAGCCAATGTAGAATAAACAAACACACAGCAATACGCACAGTAAAACTCAGTTTAAAAGAAACCAATAAGGAAAAATTAATTCACAGAAATACCAAACTTCAATGTAAATTCATAAAATCTAACAAACTCAAAAGGTTGACTATATCAACCAACTGTACGAATGGAAAACAACTGTTATATACCCAACTTGCTACAGGCATTTGCAAGCAGCCAAAACTGTGTAAACACACATTGCAGACAAACAACACAACCACAAAATAGTATATGGGTTGGGTTCCTTGAGACATTATTTTATACTCCAAAAATAAATCAAAGAACTGTACTTTTATTGTTTTTCCTCTTGGATGGTCTTGAATGAATATGCTGGTAGATTTATAGAACATTTGGGGTAAAATTTTATATCTTCTGTGCAATTCAAGCTTCATTTACCAGCAGCAGTTAAAATTCTAACCCTTCATTCCAGTCGACCAACTTCCCCTAAACCTACATATTGGCAAGCCGCATTAATGTAAACTTGTTTTTCCAGAAAATACATGAAATATTTGCCACTGGACGTTAAGAAAACAACAATGAATCATTGAAACCTTATGAGGGGTCAGCAGTTTACATGCCTTACAAAGTTGACTGTAAATATAAAAGACGATTTCTATATGCTAAGACAAATACTGTGGTTTCATTCATTTTAGTGGATGGAAGAAAAATTGCATTTTCTTGGATATATGATTTCCTGGTTTACCAAATTCTGCATACAAGAGGGTAGGAACACCTTTTAGCGTCAGGCTTCAAACAGTCATTTTCGGCTACCGTTAACGTCAAATTGGTTAAAATTTTATTATGATTCGTAAAAATATCCTTATCGTGATTCGTCATAGGTCTCAAATAATTATCTGCTACCGTTATTTTTGGAACGAATTTATCGTGATTCGTCAAAATCAGTCAATTGTGTTATCATCATAAAGAAAATTTGCTTTTTATCGTCATGCACCAAAAATTACTGTTAACGTCATTTGGCAAGATTTTTACCGTTATTCGTCTTGAAGGTACCCTCCATTACGACCCTCATACAAGTCTAGAGAAATTTTTTACTTAAGATTTTGATTCATGGTTTACCTTTACCCACGAGATCCACGATAATTATAGATTATCGTTGGTTATCTCAACGAGATTGATTTTCTCGCTTGAGCCGGTACGGCGAAAGCGAGAAAAGCAATCGAGTTGAGATGACCAATGATAATCTGTTTATCGCTATTTTACCTATGAAGACGTTGTTAATTTCCTTGACAACGGCACGTGTTCCCTTAGTTTCTAGCAATAATTTTCATATCACTCGACTCCATTTTCATATCACTCGACTCCGCTGAGAACGGAAATTATCAGTCAACAAGATCAAAGGAAAAATTCGTAAAATAGCGATAATTTCCTTTCTCAGCACAGTAGAGTGATATGAAAAATTATCGCTAGAAACCAAGGGCGCACGTGCCGAATGAAATTAACAACGTTCGTCGTCATAGGTAAAATAGCGATAAACAGATTATCATTGGTCATCTCATCTCGATTGCTTTTCTCGCTTGAGCCGGTACGGCGAAAGTGAGAAAAGCAATCGAGATGAGATGACCAACGATAATCTATAATTCCAGGAATAATAATGAGTCCACAGTACATGGATATCTATTAGCCCCAGTTATATATAAACAGTTCAAGGAAACCTGTGTTGGATAATTTCATTAGTGTATACGTAGAAAAACATTAGCCACTAGTTGATAAGGAAAAGGAAGTGTAGAAAAAATGACATTTTAGGAAGAAAGGCTGGAAAGATAGAAAGATTAGAGTGTCTGAAATATAAGTCTTGTTAATTAGAGATTGTACATGCATACAGTCCATGAGCAGAGGAAAAAGCTTCTGGGATTTTTAAGTTGATAAATGTCCTACTTGGAATGAGTTAATTGAACTAACAATAATACTATTTATTGAAAAAATGTAAAGCACACATGCACACACACTATCAAATTATTTATAAAAAGTTTGAATTTGGTACAATTCATTATGATGCATAAGGGTCTGGAAGGGGGGGGGGGGGGGTTCTTCATTTCTTTATTCTTAAATTTTTGGATTATTTTTCTCTATTCTTTATTAATTTTGCCCATTATTCTCACTTCTGAATATTTTAGCACGTCATTCAGGGAAAGATAATGTGATTTGAGGTAAATTGGTTTAGGTTACAACACCAAAGTTCAGGGAAAGAAGAAAATTTTGGGACACCAGTGATTTAAAATTGTTTTTTTATTTAGACACACGCCCAATTAAACAAAAAATAATGGATCATGACCATTGAGTTTCAGGTCAATAGGCCAAGGTCATTGTAGCTACAAACTGAGTGGGGTTTCTAGATATACTACCAATCTACGAAGGATAAGACTGGTATCCGTTTTAGACAGCAATGCTGTTTTATCTCTGTCCGAGTGATATTCACCGGTGGCTAAAACATCAATTTTCTAAAACTTTTGCATAAGAATTCTCGCTTAAGCTTCTTTCATTTGGCAAGATATACTCAACATATGATCAATTGCATAATATGATAAAGGACCTTTTCATACCTGTGGATAATGGTGTATTTTATCAATTTATTCTCATCTGAAACAAATTTCAAATGTACACCTGTATTTAAATATAAACAATATTTCGGAGATATTTCTTCCCTAGTCATGTTAAACTATGTAGATGGAATTTGATGCATTTCCAAAATTTGATATATTTAATTGAAATCAACATCACATGATATAAAAGTAAGCAATGTAAAATTAATTCCATTTATCGAAAAGATAAAGTCGAAAGACAAAGATGAGAAAATACAGGTAATTGTACAGCCTTGAACAAAGCCCATACAGTATAAATCGCTATAATAAACCCCGGGAGGACAAAATGTAAAACAATTCAAAAGACAAAACCAACTGCATAATTTAAACTACAACTATAGCCAAAAATTTATTATGACAAACAGCACAGTATGGGTTACAGGCTCCAGCTTGGGACAGGCACATAACGAATGTATAAATTAAATAATAATTTAATAAAACATCTATACTATTAAATTTGTATACCGAATTTTTTTAGCCAGTTTGTGTGCGAGCCGACGATCATTTGAAGTATTATGTATTGATAAATAGTTAGTGTATGTAATGTACTTTATAACTTCATATAGTAATTGCTTTAATTAGCGTAGCTTAATTTAATTGTATATTTACAAACAAACAATTATTTTCAAAATGCTGAATGGTCGCAATTTGTCTGGTGATTCTTCGTCGTAATCCGGATTCTTCAACGTTATTCTGCCTCTGAGACCTTTCTTAATATAAGAAACAAATTAATTTTAACATCACGAATAAATAGGCTTCAAAATCACGATAGTCGGGGTTGTTTTCTATTAATATTTTCCTTTGACTATTAAATGTTAGTGATGACGAATGTACCTTTTACTGTATTATGCATGATAGACAAATTTATATTACATTTTATTGCAAAAAATCTTTAGTGTTCTCATGCATGCAAGTAGATTGAATGCAATCAATGAAAAGTTAGGCAACCGAAAAGAAGTGTAAAGTACTCTTCAGTGTAAAAATGAAAAGATAAAAAGCATGTATTCAAGTTAATTAAACCTCAATCTATGTTCATACAGCCCATTGGTTTTAATTTATTGGGTAGTCTATGTCGAAAACTATATGATCATGCAACAGTAGTGTTTAGGAATATCCTAATTTTCTGAAAATAGGAAATCAAAGTTTAATTACAATTAAAAGTAAGCATCTTTCCCAAAATTGGCTTGATAAATTTAATATATAATTATCAAAATTGGCCGAATCTGATAGCCAATTATCTGGGAATCAACCTTTGACTTTAAACATTTTAATTAAAATCACTGAAGGTTGAAATAGACGTCAGAGTGATTTACTTTTTTCAAAAAAGTTGTCATAATCCAGTCCGTGTTAGATAATTGTATGTCACTTAGTATATGAGATCTTAACTCGAGTGTAAAAATAATAATTTTAACATCTATATTTGATCTGAACTGGAACCAGGGGCGGATCCAGGATTTTGGAAAGGGGGGCGTAGTAATAAAGTTCGCGAAAATATTTTTTGGACCTTTTTTTGGCTAAAAAACATAAAATAAGTGTAAAATGCATTTTATAGTTAAAGTGTAGGGGTTGGACATTTTTGGTGCCGTATTCTCTCCACCAATTGTCTATTATGAAATGATTGGATGGATCCAAAGCTATGTACTAATTAATATATTTGATGTGGGATTTGTCAGTAAAAAATGGACATGGACAATTATCGTTTGTTGTATGGTTAGTTAGCATAACCTCACAGATTTCTTGTTGTAAACAAGATATACG